AATGGGAGGAAATACCTGTACATCTTACATCTACAAGGAACTTTATCCAGAATATACAGAGAACTCTTGTAACTCAACACACTCATGTAAATACACAAAACAGCTAAAATGAAAAATGAGCCAAGGACAGATTAGATATTTCTCCAAACAAGATCTATATCTAAGAAGCAGATTAAAAGATGCTCGACATCACTAATCATTAGGGAAATAAAAATCAAACTCCTCAGGAAGGCAATTAAAAAAAAACCTGAAAAACCATAACCATAAAATAAGTGTTGGCAAGGATGTGAGAAATTGGAACTCTTATGGCCTGATTGCTGGAATATAAAATGGGTTAAAATGGTACAGCATCTTCAAAATATAAGGCAGAATTACTATATGATTCAGAAATTCCAAAAGAAATGAAAACAGAGACTTGAACACATATTTGTAGATTCACAGTCAAAACAGCATTACACATAACAGCCAAAGGGGAAGCAACCAAAATGACAATTGGCAGATGAGTGGGTAAACAAAATGTGGCATATATTCACAATGGAGTATTACTCAGCCTCAAAAAGGAAGGAAATTCTAACACAGGCTACAACATGGATGAACCTTGAAACATTAAGCTCAATGAAATAAGCCAGTCACAAAAAGGACAAATACTATATGATTCCATTAATATAGGTACCTGAAACAGTCAAAATCATAGAAATAGAAAGTAGAATGGTGGCTGCCAGGGGCTGGGGAGAGGAGAATGGGGAGTTGTTGTTCAATGGGTATGATTTGTTTAATAGATATAAGTATTTAATGGCTATGAGTAATGTTTCTTTTTCAAAATAAAAAAGTTCTAGGGATGCACTGTGACACAATAATGTGAATGCACTAATGCCACTGAACTATATACAAGTAAAAATGGGTAAGATGGTAAATTTTATGGCATGTAAATTTTTTTTTTAAAGATTATTTATTTATTTATACAAGCACTGGGACAGTCAGAAGCGTGGGAGGGTGTGAGAATTCACCAGAGCCAGAGCAGGAACAGAACAAGCAGACTGACGAAATACACTGCTGAGGGGAGCAGTGGGCACGGCAGGAGAGGTCTGCGCGCCATGTGGGACCCTCGCCGGGGGCTGGGGATCGAACCGGCACTGCAAAGGATGCGGGCAACTTTGCAGCCCAGCGCTCAACTGCTGCGCCACCAGGGGAGGCCCTGGCATGTAAATTTTGCCACAATTTTTCAAAACAAATTTAAAGATTTGTAAATTTGTGTATTTGAAAAGGAGAATCATTTTCCTAAAAAAAAATCCTAATGGATCTCAATATGAATACAGAAATGGAGTTGCTGTGTTAAAGTAGCAGGGGACAGGAGAAACTCAGGTCAGAGTCTGGGGAAATAGGCCAGAGCCCTTCCTTTTAAAAGGCAGTCAAACTTGAAGGATCTCCCAGCTCTATGTATTAGTTTATGATTCCAATTCAACTAGAACAAGTTATAAACTCTTCTATGGGATTTACCATGCTATCATATAGAAAGGTAGTTTGTCAGCTTCTGAGTTTCATTTTGTGTTTAATGAATAAATCTATCACTCACAGTGACTTCACAAAACTTATTCTGTATAACTATTTTTCTTTTGAAAAAAGTGGGACCAGCACTTTCTGATTATTACCTTGTTAAGTAGCCAATTTAATTAACTTACCAGTGTATTTGGCATTTTGTTACCTGTTTAGTTTAGATGCTAGGGGATCTGCTGCCTCTTTCCTCTGTGTATTACCCATCGCTGCCAGCAAACTCAGCTGAAACTGATCTTCTTTGCAGTTCATTTCATTCTTAGCAGTTAGTTGCATGAAGGAAATAGGGTCATCAGGCTGTACTGTCACATTCCTCTTTTCAGATTCTTTCTGTGTTGAGAAAGCAATACATATGTTTCTTTTTAATATGGAAAAAAGTTATCTTACAAAAAATACATAGGGCTGAAAAAAAAAATCAAAACTTTTTTAAACCTTCAAAGCACATTTATGGCTTTGTCATATATACCTTACCTTTTGGGATAATTTTTCTTCTTCAAGTTTAGCGGATAACATGTGAGAAAGCGATTGTCTGCATTCCTTATTGAAAATGTCATTCATTAAAGGTGAACATTCTGACAAGACCTTGAGACACAGGGAAATTCGATCTACATCATCATCTGTAATTGGCTTCTTAGGGAGAGAGGATTTTCCCAAATGAAGGATAGTGGCCATGAGCAGCATAGCCTCAGCAACAAAAGACTAGGAAAATAAAGAAATCGGTTATTTATTATGTCATGATTTTCCAATTTATTATAGCATCTAATCCAAGAAATGAATCTAAACTTTCATTTATTTGAGTAAGATTTCAAATCCTTTAGATTTTATCTTCATATCTTTTCACACTAACCCTTAACTCACAAACAGTAACGGCTTTCATCAAAACTCTTTAAGATACCACCATAACAAATGTCAACCACACACAACAGCGCCTCCACAAGGTCGAGAATTAAAAGTTGTACTTTGGACCTCCCTGGTGGTAAGGGGTTAAAGACAGGGCTATCAAGCTGTTAGCTTGGGAACAACCCACATGGTGCAGCAGACTTCTCCTGTCTCCCCAGCTGCTCCTCTCAGCAGTGTACTTCAGTAGATCTGCCTATTCTGCTCCCCACTCTGCCTCTGGTGAATCCTCTCACCCTCTGCACCTCTGATCTACACCCCAGTTCTTGTATGTATAAATAAATAAATCTTTCAAAAAAAAACAAAAAAACAAAACAGTAATGGCTTTTTAGCCACCATTATATTTTTAAAATTCTAATTACAGAAAAGTAAAAGAATGACAGACTTCATCAACTGTTAACATTTTACCATATTTGTTTTCTTATTGTGCATATATGTGTATATATGAAGAAATAATGGCTGAAGGGCCTCCCTGGTGGTGCAAAGGGTTAAGTCTTACCGCAGCCACTGCAGCACGCATTCGATCTCCAGCCAGGGAGGTGACTCAACATGGCACAGCAGACCTTTCCTTTCTTGCCCATTGCTCCCCTCAGCAGTGCATTTCAGTAGATCTGCCTGTTCTGCTCCCCACTCTGTCTCTAGTAAATCCTCTCACTCCCCTCACCTCTGGCCTGCACCCCAGCTCTTGTATGCATAAATAAATAAATCTTTAAAAAAAAAAAAAAGAATAGCTGATTGCCCTGTAACAAGGACTGAACAAATATATAATGGTCCACAGAGTGTACAAAGTAAATTATTGCTCATAAATTAAAATTGGTAAGATAATGCACTTTGCAAATTACCTGGCCCTCTAATCTCTGTGACTCTTTATGATGGAAGTGAAAAAAAAAATTCTTTGAAAATCCCAAATCTAAATTTAATGTATAATTACATGGAGGCTTTACAAAGGAATCAAATGGATTATCACACAGTTAATTAAAAATTATGATTATGATGATTAGGAAGGGTTTAGACTAACACCAGAAAATATCTGTTATAACATTAAATAAGCTACAGTACTGTAAAACACAGAATGATCGTTACTAAGGGAAAAAAGTTTTTAACAGATAAAAACCAACATAAACTCTAGCGAAAGGAAGAATTTCTGTTATTGTATCTGGTAATGTAATTCTAACTTTTAATATTTTAACAAGATTTATACTAGAGTAACCATGAGTAATTTTTTTCCAATAGTTCCTCTTTTACTCAAATATAAACATTCACAATTCTATCAGATTTTTCTTTTTAAATACAGCAAAGTAAAGTATTTTCAGGCAAATGAAAGCTGAGAGAATTCATCACATGCAGACTTCATTATGAGAATGCAGATCTTTGTAAGAATGCAAATTCTTTAGGCAGTAATAAAAGATGGAAAGCTGAACTTGCACAAAGGAATGAAAAGTACAATAGATGGTAAATATAAGACATTTCTCATAAAAATATCTTTAAAAAATTTACAAAGTGTAAACAAAAACATCAGAATATTATTCAGCCTTAAAAAGGAAAGAAATTCTGACACTTTCTATCATATAAATGAACCTTGACGACATTACGCTAAGTCAAATAAACCAGTAATAAAAAGACAAATAGAATGTTCTCATTTTTATGAAGCACCTAGAATAGACAAATTTGTAGAGGAAGAAAGTGGAATGGTAGCTGCCAAGGAGGGTGAATTAGGGCATTACTGTGTATAGGTTCAGCTTGGGATAATGAAAAAGCAACGGAGATGTGGTTTTGTATGTTTAGACAATAATGTAAATGCACTTAATGCCACTGAACTGGACATTTTTATTTATTTATTTATTTAAAGATTTATTTATTTATGGATACAAGAACTGGGGTACAGGCCACAGGATTGTGAGAGGATTCACCAGAGACAGAGTGGGAAACACAACAGGCAGATCTACTGAAATACACTGCTGAGGGGAGCAGAGGGCGAGGCAGGAGAAGTCTGCTACACCATGTGGGTTGCTCCCTGGCCGATGGGGATCGAACTCATGTGGCAGTGGCTTCAAATAGCTTCATAGGTTGTGACTTAACCCCTTGCGCCACCGCGGAGGCCCTGAACTGGACACTTTTAAATGATTAATGATAAATGATAAATTTTATGTTATGTCTATTTTACCATGAAGGAAAAATGCAAAAAAAAAAAAAGCTGTTTCGTGAAAGGAACTTTAGCATTCACTTTTGTGTTCCATTGTTCAGTACATATAGTAGGCACCCAATCTTCATCTGTTGGGTAAATGTAAAATACATTAGCTTACATTTTGCTTTTTCTTTTCCTGAACCAAAGCCACATAGCGCAAGGCAATTTTGGTCAGGGTTGTAGCAAGGGAGGCAGCAACAAAGAAATCTCCATCCAGAAGAAATCCTCTCAGAGGAGGTCTGCAAATAAAAGAAGGAAAATGAAATCCACCAATTTCTTAAGCAGCATGAAGTTTTTATAAAAATGTTTCAAATAAGTCCATTCAACACTCTCACTGTTACTCTTCAATGATACGGACTTCAATTAGCTCTCTCTTTAGCTCTCAGAATGAAAGACAAAGAAAACATGGCTTTAAAACTTATCTCTAAATGATGCAAGAGCCAACTGAATATGGAAGAGAAAATGGTTAAGAGTATAAGTACTACAGTCAATGGCTACATTCAAATCCCAGTTCATCTATTTATTTGTTGTGACACCTTGATAAGTTACAAAACTCGCTAAGCCTCAAATTCCTCTTCAGTAAAATGGGAATTGTAGTACATGTTATTTCAAAGGGCCGTTGTCAGATTGAATGAGACAAACTACTTATTAGCAAATATCACCACAGTAAGCTATCATTAAAAGATGTTTTAAATCATTTAGGCACTATTTTCATCATGCCCACCACAGAAATAGAGAGGAAAATAAGGGGGGAAAATTTTATTCCATTAATTAGAATCAGAAAATCTGCAAAATGTTTCCCAAATGTTAATAGATAACAAAACTAAAATATCATCAAAGCTACCACTATTTAGCATGTTCTATGTGAGTAAAATAATTTAGTTTCAATAGTACAGTTATTTCAGTGAAAACAACTAAAAGGAGCAGAGGAAGGCTCAGATGTGTAGAAAATCAACACAATTCCTGGGGGAATAATTTAAAACATCTTTCTCTTTTCATATACCTTAAATGGCAAAGATTTCCATTTTGTTCAGTAAAGCAAATGAGTAAAGAAAAAAAAAATCAGTTGACTATTCTATACACAGAAATAATAATAAAAGAAGTATATCTGATAGGCTACAGGTGCTGCAAATTACCTTTCTTCCTCTTTCTTGGTGGGTCTAGAACTGCTAAGGGCACTCTGAGTTGCATAGGTACCCATCTCAGTTACCAATTTCTGAACTGGCCCCACAGTTATTTCTTCTTCAGGTTTTAATTCACCAGCTTCTTTCTTTATTTCGGACTCTACAATTGGGATCTAAAAATCAATTGGAAACATCAACTTAGTCAAGAGCCAGCATGATCATATTTAAATAGACAACGTATTTCCCAATGAGATTTTTGGAACTTGAAACTCTGTTTTCAATTTTCTTTCCTTCTCAGAATAATATAGTGGGAAGAAGACAGGATTTGAAATTGAATGCCACTTACCAGTTATATGGTTTGGGGCATGTTAATTAAATGACTTGAGGCTCAACTTCTTAATCTGTTACATGGAAATCTTAATTCTCTTAATACAAGTTACTTAATAGGAAAATGTTTAGGACAGTGCATAACACAAAATAGATGCTAATTCTAATTTCCCTTCCTCCGTTCCTTCCTTGAAATACTAACCTAAAATAGTACTCATCCTTCTAAAATGAAATAAATTTGACTTGTTTGTACAAAATAAGTCCTCGACTACCTATTTTTTTCAAACAATGACTATTATGTATTTATTCCTCAATACCAGCCTATCAGCTAATTTAAGTGCTTCAAGAGCCTTCAATCATCTATTTCATTTTCTTCATTTTATAGAAGAAAAATCTATGTGAAGTCATGATAAGGAACTTATATCAAGGTCCCAGAGTTAATGATCGTCTGAAACAACACTAGAATCTAGGTGTCCTGACAAACACTGTTCTCTCTGTTCTATCCTATGGTCGTTTGGATGAGAAAAAACTATTAGTTTTAATACACAAACACTGTAAATTCAGCCCTGTTTTTTAATATTATTTGCATTCTTCTTTCAGAACACATTGGCTAAAGCAGGGTTTTACAAGTATTTTTCACTTTTTAAAACAGAGAACCTTTATTCAAATAAAATCTTACTAAGGAGGGTAAATAATACAGATAAAAGAATAGGTGTCATGGTTCAAAGCAGGGAAAGGAGATTCCCCTAATTTCCCACAACCTCTAAGGTTTAATTATCAGGGTAGCGAAAATACATTTTTCACTGTTCTTTAGTGCAGATGCTACTAAATAAAAGGCACAAAAATAAATCATCATATAAAAGTAAGATTTACCAAAATAAAACATACCTCCCCCAGAGACCTGCGGACCTCAGTCATCACACTCTGAATATCTTCCTTGGTACTACAGTATTCTCCCAGAATCCACAATGCTCCGCGGTAAATCCTAGAGCAAGAACACCAGTTTTCTAACACATATTTTACCAAAATCCCAAAGCAGAGACTTTTATGAACTTAAACTCATGCAAGAAAACAAGATTCAGCAGTTCTAAGTGAACATGGATGAAAATTTAAGAAAAAATAATATAACAACCTTCTTTGATTCTCTCCAGATATCATAAGGATTAAAAGGGAAGTAAGGGGCCTCCCCAGTGGCGCAGCGGTTGAGCGCTGGGTTGCGAAGCTGCCCGCGGCCTCTGCGGCGCCGGTTCGATCCCCGGCTGCTCCCCGGCCACCGGCGGAGGATCCCACATGGCGTGCAGACCTCTCCTGCCGCCCGCTGCTCCCCTCAGCAGTGTACTTCGGTCCTTCTGCCTGCTCTGCTACCCACTCTGGCTCTGGTGAATTCTCTCACCCTCCCGCGCTTCTGACTGTACCCAGTGCATGTATAAACAAAACAAACAAACAAACAAAATAAATAAATAAAACATGCCTCTATAAAAAAAAATAATAAAAAAGATTCAAAAAAAAAAAAAAAAAAAAAAAAAAAAAAGGGAAGTAAGTATTTTCATTCTTCATTACTAGGAACAACGTAAAACTGGCAAACTCAGTAGTGAATATAAAAAACCAACATGTTTCACAGAAAGTATTAGCTTCCATTCAAAATAAAATTGAGGTAAATTTGGCCTATTTATTACCATAAAAATGTATTACTTTAATGTAGATGGGAATTTATTTTTTAGTTGTAGTCATTAACGACATAATGGACAAGGAGGGAGTGCAAAGGGTCAGTAACAAAAACCCAAACACATAAAGTAAAAAAAGTAACACCTCACTACATTAAAGTGAATAAAGTCTTGGGCTTCCCTGGTGGTACAAGGGGTTGAGTTTCAGCACTATGAAGCTATTGGCAGCTACTTCAGCATGAGTTTGATCCCCTGCCAGGGAGCTGACTCAAATGGCGCAGCAGATCTCTCTGGTTTTGCCTGCTGCTCCCCTCAGCAATGTTGTTTCAGTAGACCTGTATGTTCTGCTCCTCACTCTCTCTGGTGAATCCTCTCACCCCCACCCCGCACCACTGGCCTGCACCCCAGCTCTTGAATGCATAAATAAATAAAATAAATTTTCTTAAAAAAGTGAATAAAGTCTTTAGTCATATTTTTCCTAAGATTTTTATTAAGCTGATTCAGAAAAAATTAATTCTAGAAACTGATGGTGTTGGAGATTATGGCTATCAAAAACAAAACTTTAATATTTTTTTCTCACAAAGGAGGCAAATCTTGCTCAGTTTCATAAACATCAATAATCAATTTTCAGGGCCTCCATGGTGGCACAAGGGGTTAACAAGCACAGATTAGGAAGCTATCTGCAGCCTCTGCAGCACGAGTTTGATCCCTGGCCTGCTAGGGAGCTACCCACATGGTGCAGCAGACCTCTCCTGTCTCACCCTCTGCTCTCCTCAGTAGTGCATTTCGGTCAGTCTGCCTGTTCAGTTCCCCTCTTTGTCACTGGTGAATCCTCTCACCCCCCACACCTCTGGCATGTACCACAGTTCTTGTATACACAAATAAATCTTTAAAAAAATTTTTTTCAGATAATAAAGCAATTTTGTAAAGGTACCCCTTCTTCCCTCCCACCTCTTTCTTTTCTATCTAAGCAGATATTCTACTAGTCTGTTATAGTCTAACCATCAGGTGATTTAAATTCAACAGAATTTGGATGCAATACTTCATTTTCATTAGCAAAGATTATCTGAAAGGAAACACAATGTCAGATTTAAGTTGCATTTTGAATCTTCTCTTCAATAAATACTAAAGGGGGATATAAATAATGATATCCAAACTGTGATACCTTTGAAAAAATACATTCCTTGATTGCTTTGGATTTACAATATTTTAGAGGAAATCAGGATAAAGAAACCTAGCTATGGCACTTCCAGAAAACAAAAATTTTTGCCAACAGACTAGGTTAATCATAGCTGGGGGTGAGGTGATACTTTTTGTCGTACTTAATTTGTCTTGTTTTTGCTTGACTATCTTGACTCATCTCTCCACTATGTTTTTTTAAATCAACTGACCCTTTAAAGATAAAAATTCTTGCTTGACCTTATATTTAAATGTAATTTAAACTTACTTGACAGATTTGATAGCATGAAAGACTTCTAGCATCTTCTCAACAATAAGCATCCTCAGGTTATCAAAGCGTTGAATGGCTTCACGAACAAACTCCAAGACATCAGCAGCTGCTGCTTCATTACTGTCACTGAGAAATTCCATTAACTTAAAAAAAAAAAAAAATTAACAATTATGTAATTTTCAGAAAGAAAATTGTAGTTTAATAAGTAAATTTAATTTACAAAGAATGTTTTTTTTAAAAAAGATTCATATATTTATTTATACAAGCACTGGGTACAGTCAGAAGCACGGGAGGGCGAGAGAATTCACCAGAGCCAGAGGGGAGAGCAGAGCAGGCAGACTGACGAAATACACTGCTGAGGGGAGCAGCGGGCGGCCGGAGAGGTCTGCGTGCCATGTGGGACCCTCACCCAGCATTCGGGGATCGAACTGGCGCTGCAGAGGCTGCGGGCAGCTTCGCAACCCAGCGTTCAACCGCTGCACCACCAGGGAGACCCAATTTACAAAGAATGTTAATTAATAATTTCCAAATCCATAACAAAATGTAAACTAAGAAACCATCAGTAAACAGTTACAATTTCTTTGCTGGTTAATGTGTAACTAAGTTTATTATAAAACTTGCTATAAAGCTGAAGTTGGAAATTCATTACTAAAAATAAAATGGATGTATTATTGATAATGACTAAAATTATTTTAGAGAAAATTCAGAGCTTAAAGATAAAATTTCCAATTACAATAACATGCCTCATTTATCTGATAGTGACAGAAAATAAAATATTCTAGATGTGTGAATTTTTCCTCTAACTGAATCCTTAAACTTATAAGGTGAAACTATCTGAAAGAAATATTTACTTGCCTTACTTTATACACAGTATAATTTCACTTTAGGTAATTTTAACAAATATCACTAGTAATAATAGGTGAGGATATTTTTAGCCACATATTGCGTCAAGCAACAACTATGGTTTTTATTTTTATTTATTTATTTATTTTTTTTTTTAAAAAAAGATTTATTTATTTATTTATACAAGCACTGGGTACAGTCAGAAGTGCGGGAGGGTGAGAGGATTCACCAGAGCCAGAGCAGGGAGCAGAGCAGGCAGGAGGACCGAAGTACACTGCTGAGGGGAGCAGCGGGTGGCAGGAGAGGTCTGCGCGCCATGTGGGACCCTCCTCTGGTGGCCGGGGAGCAGCCGGGGATCGAACCAGCGCTGCCGAGGCTGTGGGCAGCTTTGCAACCCAGCGCTCAACCGCTGCGCCACCGGGGAGGCCCGGTTTTTATTTTTTTGATGAGGATGTAAGAAAAATGTCAGAGACCTTACCTTTCTGAACCTTAGAGTGCACAAACAGACTGAGATTTAGTAATTGCATACCGTCATTTAACTTTTGAATAACAGAATTAAAAAATTTTCTTCTAGAGAATTTCAAAATTAAGGTCATTAGAGTTACATACCACAGGGATAACATTTGCAGCCATATCTGGAAATCGGACAGAGCAAGAATGCAATGTTCGCACAAGGAGTTGTCTGTATTTGTCAGTATCTTCATGCTCAGACACATTATTTGTTTTAATCACCTCCTTCTTTAGGACAATAACCAGCTACAGAACAAAGCAAAATAAGTGAGAATTACAACAAGATTTGCCCGACAGTTTACAAAATGCTACCAGAATGTTGTTTTACCTCTTCAACATTCCTAGAAGAGACAAGATCCAGTGCTAACTGCAGAGTCTTCTTGCGTACTTCTAAATCTGGTGTGCTTAATACTCTCAGGATGTCCATGACTAGATCCTGAAAAATATCCAAAAAGTCCAGAATTAACATCAATATTTCTGGTAAAAAGAAGAAAATTTCAACTGTAGAATGGAATCGTCTATCAGTCACAATTCTTAATTCTTTGATCAATAATAAAATCATTAGTGGTGGAAAAAACAAGTATTTTGGGTCACTTGATGTAATACAATATGAAGTATATAATATCACATAGGGTGCATTTAACTGAAAATGTTTACTCTGAGTCTGTATCAAGTTGTAGATCCAACTTGTAGCTTATAGGAAATATAGAAGCCAAGAAACAAGCTGAATGTGGGCCTCCTCGGTGGCGCAGTGGGTTGAGCACAGTGCTGTGAAGCTGTCTGTAGCCTCTACAGCACAGGTTTGAGATTGTTGGCTGGCCAGGGAGTCACCACAGGGCAGCAGACAGACCTCTCCTGTCTCGGCCGCTGCTCCCCCAGCGCGTATTTCAGATAGTCTGCCTGTTCTGCTCCCACTGTCTCTGGTGAATCCTCTCTCCACCGCCCCCCCCCCCCCCGCACCTTTGGCCTACACCCTAGCTCTTGTATGCATAAATAAATAAATCTTTAACACCACTGCGAAAATCTGAGTCTAGAATTGGATATAACATTAAGGAATTATTAATTTTGCTGAATGTGATGTTATTTTGTCTCTGGAGGAAGAAGTAATATTTTAAAGATGCGTATTTAAAAAAATTGGCAATAATATTTTAAAAGTAGCAAAATTCTATAAATTTCAAGAGTGAACTCCTGCAAA